GTAAAAGACCCCGAATAGCCACAGCAATCCTGAGAAAGAAGAGTAAAGTAGGAGAGATCTCAATACCAGACTTCAAACTATATTACAAAGCCACTGTTCTCAAAACAGCCTGGTACTGGCACAAGAACAGACATATAGATCAATGAATAGAATCGAGAACCCAGATATCAACCCAAATCACTATGCTCAATTAATATTTGACAAAGAGGCACGAATATACAATGGAGTCAAGACAGTCTCTTCAATAAATGGTGTTGGGAAAATTGGGCAGACACATGCAAAAGAATGAAACTAGATCACCAACTTACACCATACACAAAAATAAACTTAAAATGGATACAGGACTTAAACATCAGACGGGAAACCATAAAAATACTAGAAGCATCCACAGGCAGCAAAATCTCAGACGTATGCCAAAAGAACTTCTTCACTGATACTGCCCCTAGGGCAATGGAAGCTAAAGAGAAAATAAACAAATGGGACTACATCAAAATAAAAAGCTTTTTTACAGCAAAAGAAACCATCAACAAAACAACAAGAAAGCCCACTGTATGGGAGAATATATTTGCAAATAATATCACCGATAAAGGTTTAATCTCCAACATCTACAGACAGCTTATACAACTAAATAAAAAAAAGATGAATGATCCAATTAAAAAATGGGCAATGGACCTAAATAGAATATTTTCAAAAGAAGACAGAAGGAAGGCCAAAAGGCACATGAAAACATGCTCAAAGTCACTAATTGTCAGAGAGGTGCAAATCAAAACAGCAATGCGGTACCATCTCACACCTGTCAGAATGGCCAACATCAACAAATCAACAAACGACAAGTGTTGGCGAGGTTGCGGAGAAAAAGGAACCCTCGTGCACTGCTGGTGGGAATGCAGACTGGTGCAACCACTGTGGAGAACAGTGTGGAGTTTCCTCAAAAAACTGAAAATGGAACTCCCATTTGACCCAGTAATCCCACTTCTAGGAATATATCCCAAGAAACTAGAAACACCAATCAGAAAGGATATATGCACCCCTATGTTCATAGCAGCACAATCTACAATAGCCAGAATTTGGAAACAGCCTAGGTGCCCGTCAGCAGATGATTGGATCCAAAAACTATGGTACATCTACACAATGGAATACTATGCTGCCATAAAAAAGAAGGAATTCTCATCATTTGCAGCAACTTGGATGGAATTGGAGAACATTGTGCTGAATGAAATAAGCCAATCAATGAAAGAGAAACACCACAATGAGTGAGAAACACCTCACTCATTTGTGGATGATAAAGAACATTATAAACTGATGAACCAAGAGACAGATATAGAGAAAGTAAAACAACAGGCAGACTGTCAAATTACAGTAGGGAGGGGAGGAAGATTGGGGGGAGATTATAGATCAACCGAAGGACTTGCATACATGCATATAAGTACAACCAATGGACATAAAACTCTGGGGAGGGAGGGTATGTATAGTAGGGAGGGTGGGGGGCAAAAAAAATCAATAAAATATATTAATAAATAAATAAATAAATAAAATAAAAACTCTCAACACGGTGGGAGTACAAGGATCATACCTCAGCATAATAAAAGCTATATATGGCCAGAACCGGTTTAGCTCAGTGGATAGAGCGTCAGCCTGTGGAATGAGAGGTCCCAGGTTCGATTCCTGTCAAGGGCATGTACCTTTGTTGCGGGCACATCCCCAGTGGGAGGTGTGCAAGAAGCAGCTGATCAATGACTCTCTCTCATCAATGTTTCTAACTCTCTATCCCTCTCTTCCTCTCTGTAAAAAAATCAATAAAATATATTAAAAAGAATAATAATACCATTGTCTATTATAAAAAAAATAAAATTAAAAAATAGTAAAATAAAAGCTATATATGATAAACCCGCAGCCAACATCATACTCAATGGGCAAAAACTAAAACCATTCCCTCTAAGAACAGGAACAAGACAGGGATGCCCTCTCTCACCACTCCTGTTTGACATAGTACTGGAAGTACTACCCATTACAATTAGACAAGAAGAGGAGGAAATAAAGGGCATCCAAATTGGAAAAGAAGAAGTAAAGTTATCCTTATTTGCAGATGACATGATATTGTACATAAAAAACCCAAAAGACTCCATCAACAAACTAATTGACTTAATAAATGAATTTGGCAATGTAGCAGGATACAAAATCAACGCCAAGAAATCTATGGCATTTCTATACACCAACAGTGAACTTACAGAAACAGAGACTAAAAAAGCAGTCCCATTTACCATCGCACCAAAATAATTAAGATACCTAGGAATAAACTTAACTAAGGAAGTAAAGGACCTATATGTGGAAAACTACACAACACTGAAAAAAGAGACAGAGGAAGATGTAAACAGATGGAAGAACATACCATGTTCATGGATTGGTACAATCAACATCATCAAAATGTCCATATTCCTAAAGCAATCTATAGGTTCAATGCACTCCCCATTAAAATACCAACAGCATATTTCACTGACCTAGAAAAAACTCTCCAAAAGTTCACTTGGAACAATAAAAGACCCCGAATACCACAGCAATCCTGAGAAAGAAGAGTAAAATAGGAGGGATCTCGATACCAGATTTCAAGCTCTATTACAAAGCCACTATTCTCAAAACAGCTGGTTCTGGTACAAGAACAGACATATAGATCAATGGAATAGAATTGAGAACCCAGATATCAACCCAAATCACTATGCTCAATTAATATTTGGCAAAGGAGGCACGAATATACAATGGAGTCAAGACAGTCTCTTCAATAAATGGTGTTGGGAAAATTGGGCAGACACATGCAAAAGAATGAAACTAGATCACCAACTTACACCATACACAAAAATAAACTTAAAATGGATACAGGACTTAAACATCAGACGGGAAACCATAAAAATACTAGAAGCATCCACAGGCAGCAAAATCTCAGACGTATGCCAAAAGAACTTCTTCACTGATACTGCCCCTAGGGCAATGGAAGTTAAAGAGAAAATAAACAAATGGGACTACATCAAAATAAAAAGCTTTTTTACAGCAAAAGAAACCATCAACAAAACAACAAGAAAGCCCACTGTATGGGAGAACATATTTGCAAATAATACCACTGATAAAGGTTTAATCTCCAACATCTACAGACAGCTTATACAACTAAATAAAAGGAAGATGAATGATCCAATTAAAAAATGGGCAATGGACCTAAATAGAATATTTTCAAAAGAAGACAGAAGGAAGGCCATGAGGCACATGAAAACATGCTCAAAGTCACTAATTGTCAGAGAGGTGCAAATCAAAACAGCAATGCGGTACCATCTCACACCTGTCAGAATGGCCAACATCAACAAATCAACAAACGACAAGTGCTGGTGAGGTTGCAGAGAAAAAAGAACCCTCATGCACTGCTGGTGGGAATGCAGACTGGTGCAGCCACTGTGGAGAACAGTATGGAGCTTCCTCAAAAAACTGAAAATGGAACTCCCCTTTGGCACAGTAATCCCACTCCTAGGAATATATCCCAAGAAGCTAGAAACACCAATCAGAAAGGACATATGCACCCTTATGTTCATAGCAGCACAATTTACAATAGCTAGGATTTGGAAACAGCCTACATGCCCATCAGCAGATGATTGGATCCAAAAACTATGGTACATATACACAATGGAATATTATGTTGCCATAAAAAAGAAGAAATTTTCATCATTTGCAGAAACCTGGATGGAATTGGAGAACATCATGCTGAGTGAAATAAGCCAGTCAATGAAAGAGAAACAACACATGACCTCACTCATTTATGGATAATAAAGAACATTATAAACTGAAGAACCAAAAGATAGATACAGAGACAGTAAAGCAACAAGCAGACTGTCAAATTACAGCAGGGAGGGTAGAGAGATCTGAGGGAGATAAGAGATCAACCGAAGGACTTGTATACATGCATATAAGTACAACCAATGGACACAAAACTCTGGAGACAAAGGGTATGTATGGGAGGGGGGGGCAATGGTAAAATATGTACACAGATAATAATTTAATAAAAAATAAATTAATAATAATAATAATAAAAACTCCAATTTTGTTTAAAAAAAAAAGAAATCAATGGAAAAAATATCCTCAAGTGAGGATTAACAATAACAAAAAGTAAAGGTGTTTATACACCATACTAACCCTAATCTAAAGAAAACTGGAATAGCTCTATGAATTTCAAAGTAGCCTTTAGAACAAAAAAAATTATCAGGGATATTAGGTCAAAACTAAGGTTATCTATGTAAACTATGGGCATTAACCAATAAAAATGTATCAATATTGGTTCATTAATTATAAGAAATATACCATACTAAAGCAAGAGGTTAATAATAGAGAAAGCAGTATGTGCACAGGCAGTAGTCATAAAGAAACTACTACCTTTGCAATTTTTTCTGTAAATCTAAAACTGTTCTAAAAAATAAAGTTTACTAATTTTTTAAAAATCTTTTTAGGCTTTCTGTCAATTACGAAGGGAATGAATCCTAATACACTTTCCCACTCACCCCCCCCCCCCCAATTAACATGTACAAAACATTCAAAGTCTTAAGAAGGGCTCCTAGACATTGCCCCCACTATAGGCTGCATTGTGGCCTCACCCCCAAATTCATATGTTGAAGCCCTAAACCCATTCTCTTAGACTGACACTGTATTTGGAGACAGGGTCTTTTTTTAAACTCAAGACCCTTTGCTCCGAAGGCCCACATTCTATGCACTGAGCCAAACCAGCTAGGGCTGGAGTCAGGGTCTTTACAGAGTACTATTACATCTGTTTAGAGAAAAGGACTCTGAGGTTCAGTGTGGTTAATAACTTGCTCTAAGTTGTCCAGACATCCAGAGAAGCCCAGAACTTAATCCCCTGTCTATCCAACTCCAAGGCCCATGCCCAAACTTGTGCTCTACTTCACTGATCCACATCCCTACCCCAAGCCCCATCACCATGGGAACCACAGGACACTGCCTCAGGCACTCACCCAAAACTTTTAGAAAGACTGTTTCCTGGGCCTCCTCGGGGGTGACCACCACGTTACATCGGTACTCTCCTGCGTCTCTCAGCTGGACTCCAGGAAGGTGCAGTGAGACGTCCCCCTTCTCTAGCCCCGCTGGAGACACGCTGGCTCCGGGTCTGAATGCCTTTTGAATGTCTGCATACATTACAAACACCTTGTGCTCTGTTTCATTCGCCTGATGCTTCAGATACCAAATAATACCCGACTTGTTGATGTCCAGGGGTGTGGAACCAGAGACCTTGCAGGAGATGGTGACATTGTCATTCAGCAACACAGTTTGATTCTTCCCTTCCATCTCCACCTTCAAGAAATCTGTGGAAATAAGAAAATTCAGTTATGGGAGAACCTTGAAAAAAAAACTTAGGCCTTGTTCTCTCAGACGCTACCCTGTAACTAAAAATGAATTCCTTGGCCTAACCGGTCCCCAGTAGGGGACATGTAGCCATATACATACATACATACATATATATATATATACATACATACATACATATATATATATATGTATATATATATATATACATATTTATATATTTGGGGAGGGGGGAGGGGATTGCTTGGCGGGGTCAGGATAACTTCGGAGGCTGCCGCTGTGAAGGGATCAGTCCAAGACTGGTCGGCAAACTCAGCATATATATATACATATTTATACATTTTTTAAGAGCATACTATGGCCGAAACCGTTTTTGGCTCAGTGGATAGAGTGTCGGCTTGCGGACTGAAGGGTCCCGGGTTCAATTCCGGGCAAGGGCATGTACCTTGGTTGCGGGGTGTGCAGGAGGCATCTGATTGATGATTCTCTCTCATCAATGTTTCTAACTCTCTATCCAAAAGAGCGTATTATGTAGCAGGCACTCTACCTGACCCTTTATTAAAAAACAAAACACAAAAACAAATTCCCTTTTTTCTTGGGGGGGGGGGGGGGGGAGGGAGGTATCTCATGTACAGAGGCCCTTAGTTCATGGCCCCACCTTAATCTGCCTAAGATCCTCCAACTTTGCTCTTCCTTTTCAATATTGTTTTGATTATTCTGATCTCTTGCCATTTCTTAGAAACTTTCAAATCCGTTTAATTAATTCCTACAATTCCACCAAGGAAAGCTTAGAGCTGAGGCCTGTTAAGCTACAGGTGGCTGAGGACCTCAGTCGGGACCCCCCGAAGGAGATGACCAGAGAGAGTCCCCCGCCCCACCCCAACTCCCGCCACCTTACCTGCGGGGGACACGCAGCACCACAGAGGCAGAAGCGGCCACAGGAAGCGCTGCAACCAGCGGCTAGCCGCCGCCTCCCCGACAGCCATGCCTGCAGCCGGCCCGGGCTTCACTGGAGGCCGTCACCAAGGTTCTTGCAAAAATGAAAGTCCTAGGTAGGAAGAAGAAATCCTCAAAACCGCGGTTTAGGGGGTTCACTTGCTTGGTACAAGAATGGCTTCTCCGAGCCTCCCTAATCTCTGACCCTCCTGCAGCCTGATTTACCCAGACACCCAGCCTCGGAAGCGCTGGCCTGGGGGGGGGGGGGGCGGGGCACCTATGACTCAGGCCATGCCCAGAAGTCTTCTGTGGCTGTCCGCTCCCAAAAGAACATGCTGACTAATGAGTTTGCCGACCAGTCTTGGACTGATCCCTTCACAGCGGCAGCCTCCGAAGTTATCCTGACCCCGCCAAGCGATTCCCTCCCCCCTCCCCACCCGACCCTCACCCCTACCCCGTTACCCCGCCTCAGAAGCTCCGGAAACCTTGCACTTTTCCCCAAGGCGATCTCCTCCCCTAAGTCACCCCACCCCGTTACCCCGCCTCAGAGCCTCAGATCTCAAGCTCCGGGTCCCTACCGAGCAACTTCCTCCCATCGAGCAACTTCCTCCCAGCGGCAGCCTCCGGGTCTCAGCTTCAGAAGCTCCTGTGTCCCAGCAGAGGGATCCCGCAGCCTCGGGAGTAGCCCCGTCCCCGCCAGGCCATCCTCTCCCTTCCCCGCCCTGCTCCGCTCTCGTTACCCAGTCTCAGTTCTCAACTTCGGAAGTTCTGGGAAGTGCAGCGATCCCTTCTCCCCACCCCACCAGCCTCTGTTCTTAACCTGGAAAGCTCCCGCACCCCCCCCCCCCTTCCCCCCCTCCAGAGTGATCGCCCGCCCGCACACACACCTGCAGCTTCGGAATCTGGTTCTAAACCACCAAGTGTCGCCACAGAGTGATCCAGCCCCAACCACATCCACAAGTGATTGGAGGCAGGAGGGAGGTGGGCTCCTCTGAGGTCACGCCTCCCAGAAATTTTTCGCCTTGGGGCTGGACTTGTGGCTCCCTAGCAAAAGTTTCTTAGCAACCTCAGCCCTACAAGTCAGGCTGGTTTTGTCCACTAGCAGAACCTAGTCAAAAAAATAAAAAATAAAAAAAGAGTGCCCTAGTCAATTGAGCTCAGTGTATAGAGCATCAGCCTGCGGACTCAAGGGTTCAGGGTTCGATTCCAGCCAAGGGCACATGCCAAGAGTCCCAGGTTCGATTACAGTCAAGGGCACATGCTAGGCTGTGGGCTTGGTCCCCAGTAGAGGGCATGCAGGAGGCAGCAATCAAAGATTCCCTCTCATCAATGATGTTTCTATCTCCCTCTTCCTCTCTGAAATTAATAAAAATCTATTTAAAAAGAAGAAGAAGAAGAAGAAGAAGAAGAAGAAGAAGAAGAAGAAGAAGAAGAAGGGCTCACGCACAAGTCCTGAAGACGCAGGACCAGCATGAAGGCAATCACAAACAAATTGGGGGGTGGGGGGAGACCAGAAACACCACCGATCACAACATAAATCAGATCTTTTTCTTCAGATGACTGTGTGCCTCCCTCTTCTTCGTCTTCTGAAAGCGAGTACTAACGATTCTAGATTCAAGAACTGATTCAAGTACCAACGAAAAAGTTCAGAGAAGGAGCATCGCCTCTTAGGAGAGTAAAATAAAATGTCGGCATTAGATATTAAAATTATCTCAAAACTATTTTTTAAATTGTAGCCTAATTAAAATAGGGCATACGCTTTCTGGAGGTAAGACTTACAGCACAGATGGAGGTCTGGACAGTGCATCACTTCTCTGTCTTCTCTCCTAGCGCCAGGCCTGCGTTTACCCTGGTGAATGGTGTTTATAATGAGTCCATTTACTTTAAAAACCTCACTTTGAAGAACTGTAATGCTTTCCCAGATAAAAAGTTAAATTTACTGAATTGTAAACATTTTCAGACTAGCAAAAGGTTGAAATTTAAAAAAAATTTCAATTACAGTTGAAATGCAATATTATATTAGTTTCAGGTGTACAAAATAGTGATTTCACATTTAACTTACAAAGTGATCACTCTGATAAATCTAGCACCCACCTGATAGCAAGAGAGAGTTTTAATGAAGAAAACCTGAAAAGAGACTTGTAAAATATGTTCTAGTAGAAAAAACTGTGGAGCTGTGTGCAATCAGGAGCTGTGTGTAATCAGGGGCTGTGAGCATGCTGATTTGTCTCTCCCAAATATTTTTCTCTCCATTTCCTCATCAGCAGAGGCTGAAGTTCCAGAATAATGAATCATAAGACTTGACCAGAAAGGGCCCTGCCAAGACCAGCAAGGGCCCTGCCAAGACCTACAAGGGTCCGAGAGTCGTTAGCACTGTGCTTACATGGTCTTGCACTTCCGTAGCACCAGGTGCAGGGCCGGAGGTCTTCCTGCAATATGGAGCCAGAGAGTAGCTTATGGAAAATGTCCAATAATTAGATATGTGAAGCTGTTAGTAGATGATTAGTTTTCATCAATATCTATCAAAATAAAGATTCTGTCCACAACTTGATATACGTGATAATGAGGCCTATACAGTCTAAAAGGCACCATGCGGGCGGAGCTTGAAGATGGCGACCGAACAGTCGGACTTGTTCTGACTCTGGTCCCAGAACAGATAAAAGTAGCGTCTGAGTCGCTCAGGGAATGTTGATTGGCAGCTAAGGGGCAGCGGAATTCTCAAGGAAGGTAAGGCAGTGTCCGCTGCACAGGATTTCCTGACAGGGCGGCCTTGGCGAGCTCTCCCGGCGAGCTCTCCCGGAGGGAAGGTTGCGCCATCTTACCAGGAAAGGAGGAGCATCCCTGAGGCCTGGAAAACCCACAGTGGAGAAGTCCATCGAGCAGCTGAGACGCCCGAATTGGCGCAGGCGTGTGGATTCAAGGGAGTTCTTCGGTCACCCACGGAAAGGTCAGAGTTTGCGGGGATAGCCTGAGGGATCTGGGTCTCGAGGTGCAGGCAGCTACGGTAGCCGGGGAGCTCTGGCCCCGCCTCCACGGAGCACCGCACTACCGCCCGCAGAGCTGAGCCCAAATAAGGCTGCAGCGACACCTAGTGCTGGGTTTGACGTAATCCTCCCCAGAAGCGGGACTTTTTTAAAACGCCAGGGGACACGGGACATAGTGTTAAGAATCGCGGCTGTCCCACCAAGGGCGGAACATCTGGACACCTTGGCGCCTGATCCCTTTCACCCCCTTGCTTCTGAATACTAGGGAAGGTCTGCCCAGTTGGGCATATCCGGGAAATTGCAGGGGGAAATTGCCTTCCTGGAAACAAGGAATCGGAGCCAGAAGAGATAGTCTGGGAACCAGCTGGCACTCTGCCAGCTAGAGCCATAGAGAAAGAAGGCCAGCTGGATCCAAGATGGCTGCTCGGGTAGACAGCTAACCGCAGCAGCACACAACAATTTCAATGGAATACAACTAAAATGTAGAGGGGACATCGCCCAGAGCTACAGGTAGTCGACTGACTGAAAATTCTACAACAAGAAGGAAAGAGAAAACCAGAAGGAAAATCAGAGGAGCTGAAAAAAAGCCCAAGGTACGGAGACATGCTGCGTGCTCGCACGCACGCGCGCGGAGAGGTCGCAGCAGGAGAGGAGGAGAGGGCTGGGTGCTGCCTGGCATTCTCTAGCAGGAAGAAAATAAAACCCCCAACCTGGGCTGAACCCCCGAACCAGCAGTGCTGAACCCCAGATATGAGCCAGACCCTGGGGACCCAGGCTCCGGCAGGGGAGACGGAGCTGTGAGGCGGAACCCCAAGTGAGCAGCGAAAAGCAGGGCCCCCGGAGTCGCGCGCACATTGTGCGCAGAGGACTGAATGTTGACTCTGATGCTGGTTTACCTTAGCCGGAAGAAACAAAGCTTCCAGCGGTGCTATGCCTCAGTCCGGACTGCTCTGAACCAAAGTCCTGGACCAGACCCTGGGGACCCAGGCTCGGGCAGGCGGAGACGGGGCTGTGAGGCGGAATCCCAGGGGAGTGGCGAAAAGCGGAGCCCCCAGAGTCGCGCGTACTGCACACAGAGGACAGTCTGTTGACTCTGATCCTGGACTCCCCTAGCGGGAAGGAGAAAAAGAAAAAGCTCCAGACTGGAGGAATGTGACAGGGAGCAGGAGCCCCTGCCGGACACCAGCCAGCGGGGTGCCGGCAGGGAGCTGGGTGACGGGGCCCCCAGGGAGGGGGGGTGCCCCTGAGCCATCGACCTCTGAGCGCAGGCAACGGAGCCAAGGCCGGGGGCTGCTTCCTGGCGGCGCCGACCCCGGCAACAGGCTGGAGCAGCGCGGGAGCCTGTGGAGAACAAAGGGGTGCCACAGGCCAACCTGCTGAGCTCCCAGGACAGGAGGAAGAAACCAAAGTTCTCAATGTGAAGACATCAAGTGAGAGCAAAAGATAGTAAAATTTCTTAAGAAAGAATACAAAGAAGATCTTGAAAATTCAAAGACTAAGTCAGAACTCAACTCACCAGCCAACATTGCAACATAAATGCGTTTAAAAAAAAGGACAGAATGTTGGAACAGCAGCGGCCAGGCCTAGAGTGCCCAGGCACAAAGCAATGGCAACCGGGTTCAGAGCAGCAACGGCCAGGCCCCAGAGCAGCAGCAGCCAGAACCAGAGCAACAACAGCCAGCACTGGAGCAGCCAGACCTGGGGCAGTGGCAGCCAGGCCTGAGGCGGAGGCAGCCAAGCCCAGGGAGGCCAGTCCAGGAACACCCAGACCCAGAGTGGCCAGGCCCGGAGAAGCCGGGCCCAGAGCAGCCAGGTTGGGAGCAGCCAGGTCCAGAACAGCAGTAGCCAAGCCCGGAGCATCCAGGCTGGGAGCTGCCAGACTCGGAGCGGCCGGGCCCGGAGCGGCCGGGCCCGGGGCAGCCGGGCCCAGAGCAGCCGAGTCTGGTGCAGCCAGGCCCGGAGCAGCGGCTGCCAGGCTGGGAGCGGCCAGGCCCGGAGCAGCCGGGTCTGGTGCAGCCAGGCCCGGAGCAGCGGCTGCCAGGCTGGGAGCGGCCAGGCCCGGAGCAGCCGGGTCTGGTGCGGCCAGGCCCGGAGCAGCCGGGTCGGGTGCGGCCAGGCCCAGAGCAGCAGCAGCCAGGTCCAGGGCTAGTAGGTCGGGAGCGGCGGTGACCAGACCCGGAGCAGCTGGTCGTGGAACGAACCAGAGCAATGGAGGCCAGGCCCGGAACAGCCAGGCCCGGAACAGCTCACTCTTCGC